ATATATGTGTTTTCCGATGGTCTTAGGCGACCCCTGTGAAAGGGTCGTTCGACCCCCAAAGGGGTCGCGACCCACAGGTTGAGAACCGCTGTTCTAGAGGGACATGAATTTTGGGGTGACACTCTTCAACCACCTACACCCCTCCCCCCAGGGTAGCTACGATTCTGACTTCTCACATAGGCCAGTTTCACTTGGTTTTGATAAACTGTGTAGAATGTCGGCTTTTGTTCATCTTTCATGAACATTCATGGTAAGATTCTTCCGTGGGGTTGTGGTGGTAGCTGAAATTTGTCCTTTTCCATTGACATGCAGTATTCCATTGTAGGACCATAGGACTTTTTAAAAACCCATTCTCCTGTTGATGGGCATTTGAATAATTTCCAGTTTTATGCTACTATGAAGAGTGCTCCATGAACATTCTAGTACCGTTTCTAATTTCCGTTTATTTAACAGCCAATAACTAGACTATCAGGGCCGTGAGGGCTGAGATTACTCTGCCCAACTTTTATGCTTTCAGATGGGGAAACCGAGGCCCAAAGAGGCCCAGGTCTGCCCAGTGAGTTGGATGGTAGAGTGGGTCTGGAATTCAGCGCTGGTCACCCCTGCACTAGTGACCCGTCCACTCTGCCAGCCACCCCGAACGTCAGTGCTTACAATCAAGGTCTCAAGTATCAGCTCAGGCCTCACCCTCTTACCCGATGCCTTCCATGTCCCCAGCAGTCCCTGCAGGCCCTCCTCCTGGCCCCCCACTCCAGCCACCGCAGACTCCCGACGCGATGCCCAGGGCGCCCGCCCACTCAGACCTCTTGGATGCTGCCTCCTCTTCCTCTTCTTCCTCCTGCCCACCCTGCTCCCCAGAGCCTGGGACAGAGGCCCCAGGACCTGAGCCAGTGGCGGCTGCTGTGGGAAGCGGTGTGAGTGGGGAAGGCAGGAGTGAAAAGGGGCGCCTCTACTGCCCCACGTGTAAGGTGACTGTGAACTCTGCCTCCCAGCTTCAGGCTCACAACACAGGTGAGTGTGGCCCGCCAGCTGGAGTCCGGGGGAAGGAGAAGGGCGGGGAGACTGCCCCTCACCAGATGGGGGCAGCTGGAACTTCTGGGCGCTTTGCTCAAGGACTTGGTCACCGAGACGGTGTGCTCAGTTGTCACTGGGCGTGCATTTCGGGTCCTCCCACTAATGCTTGAGGGAGAACGGAGAAGAGAAGTAAGGACTGAAGGGTCACTGCAGAGAGGACAGGAGACACCTCCTCCATCTCTCCTTATGTCAGGCCCGGCGGTGGGGGTGGCGTAGGGGGGCTGAGACTCGAGAAGGAAGCTGACCAGTTACATTGCAAGAAGGCCTCCCCTGGGGAAGGGTGGCTTGAAATGAGAGGACCTTGTGGAGATGGAAAGAGGAATCTCATGTGGCTGGTGGGGAGTGTATGTGCTGAGCAGCCTCAGAGCTAAAGGGACAACCAAACTGACCTGGTTCGGAGGGGTCTCCGTGGCCTTGCGGCCCCTCCTCGGTGCTGACAGACTTTCTTCTCTCCTTCCACCAGGAGCCAAGCACCGGTGGATGGTGGAAGGTCAGCGAGGGGCTCCCCGAAGGGGCCGGGGCCGCCCAGTGCCCCGGGGAGGAGCTGGACACAAGGCCAAAAGAGTGACCGGGGGCCGGGGGACCCGGCCGGGGCCCAGCCCCCCTTTTCACTGTGCTGTCTGTCAGCTCCAGGTCAATTCAGAGACCCAACTCAAGCAGGTGGGAGAAGGGAGGCCGGGACGAGGGTTGGAGCAGGGGTGAGGGAGTGGGCCCAATGCCAGGGGAGGAGGAAGGAGGGCGCTGAGGAGAGAAGGTGGGTAGAGCAGGGCCAGGTGGAGCAGGAGGCAGGCTAGTGGGACGGTGGGCTCCTGGAGACAGAGGCCAAGCCTTACCTCCCCTTCCCAGGGCCCCTCCAGGTGATGCCCAATAACGTAGGTGCAATGTGTGAACTGTGGGTAGAGAAGGTGAGCTAGTCGAGGACGATGAGGAAGTTGGGGGTCCCTGGGCTTCCTCATCTTGTTCCCAGTCTGTCTGCCTGCCTGTCTGTCCATCAGCACCTGAGCAGCAGGAGGCACAAAGACCGCCTGGCCGGGAAGCCCCCCAAGCCCTCCAGCCAGCACAGCAAGCTGCAGAAGCACGCGGCGCTGGCTGTGAGTATTCTCAAGGTATCTGTCTCCAGGCAACGGGCTGGGACCCTGGGCAAGGGCAGGCGGGGAGTGGGGGCCTCGTGGGGAGCTGAGGCAGGGATAAAGCCACCCCTTTCCGAGGCTGCCTAGGGCTGGGTTTTGGCTCTCTTGGGATCTGCCCAGAGGAATGGGTCTGGGAGGTGGGTCTGGATAGGAATCTCTCGGGCAAGAGCGCGGGGTGGGCGTGCTATCTCCTGGAAACCATCTCTACCTCTGCCCAACACAGCCTCCTCCCTTGGCCCATCCCGATTCTCGTCCTTGGGGGCAGGAAGACAGGTGGTGGAGAAAGCCCTTTGGAATGAATGTCTGGGGGCGGGAAGGGAGGAGGATTTAGGTTTGGAACCCTAAAAGGCATGTGTGTCCTGCAGCAGAAAGCCCAAGGACAGAGCCCAGGGCAGGGGGGTTTTCTGGGGTCAGACTGTGGCCAGCCCTCTCTTTCTCCTTTGCAGTCGAAACTGGCCTTGCAGAAGCAACTCACCAAGACGCTGGCAGCCCGCTTCCTGCCTAGCCCGATCCCCACCGCAGCGGCGGCCATCTGTGCCCTGCCAGGGCCCCTGGCCCTCCGGCCTGCCCCCACCGCAGCCACCACCCTCTTCCCGGCTCCCATCCTGGGCCCAGCTCTGTTCCGCACCCCAGCGGGAGCTGTCCGCCCTGCCACGGGACCCATCCTCTTTGCCCCCTATTAGCCCTTCCAGGGAGGCCAGGGCCACCTTCCCCACCCTCCTCTCCCCAGGAAGCCTCTGTTCCTACATCCCGCAGGGGATTTTTCTCACAGCCGAGGGGTTCCTGACCAACCTAGGAAGAGCTGGGCTGGTTTGAAGGGCAGGTGCCCTTCACTCCATCTGACTGGGGATTCAACTATTACCCCCTGGCCCAAGGGCCATGCCCACCCTCAGTTCCCCAAACTTCTAGTCCTGGGCTCCCCGCACTTGCAGCCCGATTTACAGGGAGCAAACCGAGAAATCCCCAAGATCTATGCAAAATCCTAGCCCCAGCCCCACGGTGCTCTCATTCCCCCCCAAGACCTACCCCCCCATGGCCAAGGGCCCTAGAAATCTTAACCGCCAGCCTGGGACAAGTCTGTGACTGACCCCGACTCCCGTGCTCTGGGAGGCCCTCCCCATTCACCGGCTTCTCTGGAGAATGACACGGTGCAGGGCGGGCTCTGGACACGATGACCACGGGGGAGTGGCGGAGGCTAGAGGAGAAAGGCAGCCGTGCTGAGGGGGGGCACAGCCATGGTGCTGGAAGCCTTTAGTGGTCATCTCCAGAGGGATGGGGCTGGGCCGTTTTAACAGAGGAAGTGATCAATCCCCTCTTAGCCTTTTACTGATTTCTCCTGGACTCCAGCTCTGGGGTTGGGGGGACACTGGGTCTCCCTTTGACTATGGACCCAGCGGACACTGAATCCCCCCCTCCCCAGGGTTCCCAAATGAAGAGCTTTCTTCTCTAGCTATTCAACCCAAACTGGTCCCTCGCACAATTCAGCTTCCCCTCCCCCCCCAACCGACCAGCACCCCAAGCCTCCCTCACTGTGAAGCTGAGTGTTGGGATCCAGACCCATCCTCATGCTAACATCACAACCTCCATCCTACCCCAGTATTGTCCCCCTCACCCTACAATACGGGACTTTGCCAGTATCCACCTGTATCTTTTTTTTAAAAAAAATATTTCCAATGGGAAAATAAGGGGCGGACGGGAGGGAAACTTTTTTGATAACAGTTGTGGTTTTATTGTGTCCAATGCATCAATAAATGAACTTTAAGCCCGAGCCTGTCTACGCCCTAACTTGACTTGCCCAGCCTGGGACCGCCTGCCCCTGCTCACCTCCCCTGTTTTGGGAAGGGGCATGCACTGGAGGTGGCCCGGCTATAGGGCTCCCCTATGGTAGCGGCGCCCATCAGAAGCCCGGAGAGAAGCACGAAGCGGGCCCAGGAAGTTGTGGGTCATGAGCTCACCTTACAGCATGTTGAGAGTGTAACCACCCTTCTGAGCCCCAACAGATCTGTCCGCTCCTGAGAAGTTACTACTTGTTTGCCTTGCTCTGTTGAGGCATCTGAGGTAAGAAGGGCTAGAGGAGCACCTTGTCCAGCCTTCACCATGGCAGCATACTGACTTAGAACAGGGAATTTATAAATAAAGTCCAGCTAATAGCTGAAAACAACCACAGGAAGGACTGCAGACCAGGCCCCGGGGGTGTGGGTTCCCCAGTGGGCACTCAGCAGCCATTCTGGCTACTAGAGTAGACAGTGCACTCCTGCCCCCTGGCGGTTGTCGGAGAGCAGAGTCCCAGCCTCCAGGGCCGGTAGGCGTAGCACCTTGAAGAGGGAGAAGAAACCAAGGAGACAGTCAGCTGGCCCCAAGCCAGGGGCGTTAGAAAGTCATGGGGCCGGAGAGGAGCTGGAAGGCCATCTAAGCAACTCCTGTCACTGTACAGATGAGGAAACCAAAGCCCAGAGAGAGAAAGCCCTGCTGGGTAACAAAGCCCCTTGGTGAACCAGCCCCAGTCATCATGCCGTTCCACCTCAACCAATGAAGCAGGAAGAGGAAGTGAAACAATTGGGGCGGGAGGTCAAGTAGAAAATCACACTTCCCAGGAGGCTGGCTTCTCCCAGCCACAGTGCAGATGGGAACAAGGTCAGGGTGCTGGGTGAGGAGGCACCCCTAATAGGAGGACGCACACGCGTACACGATACCTGGACGCCCTTCCCCGAGAGTCCAGGCTGGTGCCGTGTGTGTGTGTGTGTGTGGCAGAAGCCCAGAGGTGTGGGACCCGTGATCGGAACCAGACCCTAGACGTGGCACTTCCGTGGGGTAGCTCTGCTTCCCAACCAGGGCAGGTGGGAGGGACCCTGACCCACATCTGCCCCAGGTCCCAGAGGGGCAGATGGGATGGAAGCTGGGGTGGAGGGAGAGGTTGAGGGCACTAACCTAGATTATTTGCACTTCCCGGAGTTAGGAGGGAGCCAAAGTGGCCCGAGCCCCGAACAGCCCAGCTGCCTGCCCTAGTGGGAGCTGCCTTTCCCTTCAACCCATCTTCCAAAGCCCCAGATGCTGGACTGGGGTTGGGGAGGTGAAGAAGGGATGGCAGCTCTTCAGCCATCCAAGGAGCCGCTGCCCTTGTTCTTACGGCTGAGGGGGAAGGCGGACTTGCTCTGGGGCTGGGTCATCTTGCTGGCCAGGTAGATGAAGGGCTCCAGGAGGGAGCGGCGGTCAGCCACAGACACCTCCCACAGCTTCACCTTCTCCGACTTGGCCCAATGCTGGGCCACGTCCGGGTCCACACGCCGCTGCTCCTGCAGGTCGCATTTATTGCCAAGGACCACGATGGTGACCTGGGGAAGAGGGACAGAGTAGAGACTTGTGGATGTGCCACGGGCCTTCGAAATGGGTGCGAAGGCTGGTCACCACCCAGGAGTCCGAAGCGAAGGGAAGTTTTAATGGCTGATATCTCTTCCTCTATCAGAAACTACGAAGTGAGGAGAGGGAGATCGTTGCTTTTTCCTCGCCTTCCTCTATTCAAATTCTGGCCTCCGTGTGGCCCTCCCTCCGGGAGTTCCACTCCAAGCCCTGCATCACCCATGCCTGCTCACAACCAGCACTCAGTTCAACTTTGGCTAAATCACATGAGGAAGCACTCCCAGAAGGCCCACAGCTGACTGGGGGACTTAAGAAAAGAGGGGCTTTCACAACTAAAAACATGGAGCCAGTAAAAGAAGGACTAGTGAGGGCTTCCCGTGTTAGGCCGGGGAGCTCTTAAACCGAGGCCTTTTCGGCTGAGCTGCCTCAGCATGGGGCCCCCTCTATGGGTGAAGACACCCGTCCAGTGGCCTTGATCCCTCCTCTAGCTCCTGACCCACCGCCTAGAAAGTGAGTAAAACACAGAGCCATGCCAGGCCTCCCACAGCCAGCCCCGGGGCTCCCACACACACCTCCTTCTTGTCCTTGGACTTGTCGATTTCCTTCTTGAGCAGCTCCACGCGCTGGAAGGACTCCCGGCTGTCCGTGCTGTAGACCAGGACGTAGCCATCGGTGCAGGAGAAGCAGTGCCGGGGCAGCTCCGTCCCATCCCGGAGCCCGCGGGTGTCGTAGAAGCGCACCTGCTCCCGCACCCCCCGGTCAGTTTCGATGGAGCCCACGTAGATGTCTTCCTGGGTCTCGATCATCTCAGAGCCTGAGATAAAGCGAGGACACTTGTTTGTAGGGAGAAAGGAGATGGGATAACGTGCGTGACTGAGGATATCCTGACGGGCTGGCCAGACATGGGGGGAAAGGAATGCGGGGGCTGAGAAGAGGGGGCCAGACCGCATCCAGCAGGACTGGAGCGGTTTGGGGGAACAGACATGAACCTCATGTTCACGCCATGCTAAGCAAAAGTGAGACTTGGGAGCTTTTCCTCCTTATCTCTGATATTGGGTTTCCTTCCTCCAGATCTCAATGTTGTAGGGCTGGAGGGCATGAGGTAGACCTTACTCCGGGAGCAGGTTTTGGCGTCTCTGTGTTATTAAATCCTACTCCTTATTCTTCAGCTTCTTCCACCATCCCCTCACTGCCCCCTCCACGCCCCCCCAAACAAAACACTCACCCACTACATGGTTCCCGTACAGAAGCTGCTCCAGGATTGACGTTTTGCCCACAGATGCCTGGCCACACACGACCACCTTGCAACTCTTCCCCATGCTGAGCCTTCAACCTTAAAGAAAGCAGCACACCGGGTGAGGCGGATCCAAACAGAGCCCAAGTTCTGAGCTGCACGGGCAAGCCTCGAAGGCCCAGCACTGCCCTCTCCTCTAGTCAGGGTGTATGTCAGAGATGATGTGTCTCACTCGCCCTAGCCGTTATGGCTCAGTGGATAGAGCGGTGGCCTGCGGACTGAAGGGTCCCGGGTTCGATTCTGGTCAAGGGCACATGCCCGGTTGTGGCCTCAATCCCCTGTAGGGGGTGTGCAGGAGGCAGCCTATCAGCGATTCTCTCCCACAGTTCATGTTTCTATCTCTCCCTCCCTATCTGAAATCAATAAAAATATACCAACAAAAAAAGAGCCCTAACTGGTTTGGCTCAGTGGATAGAGCACTGGCCTGCGGACTGAAAGGTCCCAGGTTCAATTCCGGTCAAGGGCATGTACCTTGGTTGCAGGCACATCCCCAGTAGGAGGTGTGCAGGAGGCAGCTGGTCGATGTTTCTCTCTCATCGATGTTTCTAACTCTCTATCCTTCTCCCTTCCTCTCTGTAAGAATACCAATGAAATGTATTTTTTAAAAAGAAAGAAAGAAAGAAATGATGTGTCTATGTCCCCTGCTGGGTAGGGAGCTGTGTCTTTTTCACCTTCGCGATTCCCCGTAGCTGGCCAGTGACCTGGTGCTCACTGTATGCTGTCCAAGTGGGGAAGAGACGCTGGTTAAAAGGAAACACCGGCGAGGTCCCTCCCATGCACAGGACTTGGGAGCACCAGTTACTGCCGGGAGCCCACGCTCGGCTCCCCCCTTTAACCCTGACCCCCGAGAACATTTTACTTTCCTGTATGCCTTATCCAGACAACGAATTCCCTCTGGTTCCTACTCAAGTCCCGTCCAAGAGTAAGACCACCAGGCAAGAAAGAAGTGAAGGGATCTGAGGAAGGACAGGCTCCGGAAAGGAGACGATTTTCGCGGCCCTTGGGCTGGCGGACCCAGAGGAGAAGGCTCAGACACAGAAACCCCTTCTCGCCAGGGATCGCGGAGGCAGCCCACCAGCAGCCCCAGATCTCTCCCGGGAACAGAGAGACCATTCCCCAAAGGGGTTCCAAACAGAACCCTCTCCGGAGGAAACTCCGGAGACAGACCCTCCGACCCCGCCCCGAGGGCCCCATACACTGAGCTCCCCGATGAGCAGGTACCCCGAGAGCGAGCCCGCGGGGCCCCGCCACCCCCACCCCACCCCCGGA